AGTGTAAACTTTTGTAAAGTTTCTAATTTTAGGAATCTAGGCACGAGTTCATATCGTATGACTTAAAACCGATTGTTGGTTGAAAAAAAGTTAAACCCAAGCTTGTTGAAAACTAAAAATTTAGTCTGTATGAGCTGGCCCCTTCTTAATTTTATCGCTAGTAAATTTTTTGTAAATTTTTAAACTTTATGTGACCTTCTCACGTGTACAGTGTATACTGTGCCCTCGAGCAGATAGTGTACTTGTACAATATCGCAAGGCAAAAGAGTTTTAGTGGTATAAAGACATACTTATTAATTGAATGATAGTTAACTCCACTTTCGAATGATCATAAATAAAGTCATACTTAATTTGAATTTGCTACAAATTTCTTACTAAACTTGTATCCATCCAACCATGAGCCTTAAGAATATTTTTCATAAAAATTATGTATGTTCGTTATGTATTATTATGTACATACTAGGTATTAAAAACTATAACAGTTAATTTTTTTAACATTTTTTTTAACAGCCAATAAAATTTTGGATGGAATTAAGGAGGCTCCCTCGTGACAGTTCCCAAACCAAGACCAGATGAATTTAAGGGGGCTCCAGCGGGAGGAGTTAGGAGGTCACAGGTAGCTTAATTGATAGATAAAAACACGCTGATTCCAACGGTGTCCTCATTTACCCCTCTAACCGTGGAAAATTTGGAGATATTTGCTCTCAAAGTTCGCACATTATACACAACCTCTTATGGAGTCACGTGAAAACATCGCCAATTTCTAACCGTAACCGAGGAGTTAAGAATCGGGACAGTAAGCATTTTATAGACAATAATCTCAGCTTTCAGATGGCACCTTAAAAAATATATGTAACCGTGGAAACAGTTGAGATATTTCGAAAAGTATTGATCAAGTCATTGTTTTAGCAGGGTCATGGCGAGACGCCATTTTTGTTTTGTAGAGACGTAAGGCGCGCGCTTTTGAATATTTCAGAGTAACACTGCAAGTACTTACATAGGAATCGTATGTTATCTGTAACTTTTTTTTAATCGTGTTTTCATATGGATTACTTGCACTTGATTTTTTGGGAAATAAAAGAAAAGATTGAAAAATATTAACTGCAATTATTTTTTATTTTATCACAAATTGCGTCAACAATTTTAATATTTGAAGTAACTCTTACTTTATTATTTACACTCATAGATAATAATGAGGTGATGCCATTTGTAGGATCTTTTTTATATGCATCTACTAATACTTCTATTGATATCGATTCTTTGGCCATTTTATAAATTATCTTATCATTAATAATACCTTTTAATACAATTAATTTTTGTTTGTTATCATCAATTACTTTTTTATTTCTTTTTTGCTGTTGCAAAATCATTTCAGCATCCTGCAAGTCTCGATGACTCTTACAGTGATGTATGATTTCTTTCATTTTTTATAACACAAAAAAACTAATTCTTAATAAAACGCTCTGTACGTGACAGAAGCTGCTGTTTGTTCACCATAGGTATGGATACATCATATATATAGATGATGGTGCTCGCTTATATATACACGTATATATAGATATATGCTCACAGAAGTGATACCAACTAACCGAATAGTTTTCGGGTTGGTACCAGTGCTCGCTGGAGCCCCCTTAACAGTTGAAAATCTACTGAATCCAATTTTATAATTACTTATATCACTTACTCTGCGAAATTTCGAGATCTTATTAATTTAACGTAGCTCTTTCTAACACGTATCTTATGGTGGAGCTCGCACACGCGATGAAAACAACTTAAAAACTCGAATTAATTAACAATTTCAGTATCAAGATCGCACACGTTTTGTAGAAAAAAACCTCGTCTTTCGAATGACACCTAGCAAAGTAAGTGCTTCCCTGGAAAATTTCGAGATATTCTAATAAAAATTGATCAAGTCATTGTATTTTCATAGGTTAGCCTATGTTCTACTGCGTCAGTGATGCCAACTATACTTGAGTTTGCGAGCAAATTTGTGACCTACGACGAGGCTTGGCATTTTTGAACGAGGGAACCTCCTTAATATGCCTAAATTACCGACTAACAGTGCTTATTTTACTGGTTCAGGAAAGAATTTCGCCAAATTTTTAACTATTTTGGCTAATATCTATGATAACTCAACTCGAGCATCAATGGGCCTATAATTGTATGCTTTAATAAAATAACAGTTGCATATAGCTATACGTATCCTAATTGTAATTGAATTAAGTTGGTTAAGAATGAAGACACTGGTGAGTATAAATTACGTATTCTTTTTTCTAGAGATTCTTCAAGCATAAATAACAGCTCCTATTCAACTTTTGCTTCCTTGCACCGAAATAAAACGATTTTAGATACGAACTACAAAAAAAGAACAGGAGATCTAAAAATTCAGTGAAAATTTACCGTCATGTAATAGTTATTGCAAAAATTAGTCGTCAATATAAAAAAGTTCACGTAAAATACAAAACCGATTGGGTAAATTGGGATACCTCAGTTGATGATTATATGATTAGCAAAGCCTTTTCTCCAAGTCTAGGATGGATTTAATTAAATCCTTGAATGATAAGGAAAGCGAATTTGGCTTTTAAGAGGCACTAACATGAACTTATATTCCAGATTGCAGCAATGAACATACTATAGGCTTTCAAGTAAAGCTTTGCTAGACTTGTGTCAGAAATACAGCTTCCACTAATTTTACAAACCAAAAAATGACTTATAACTGGTTAAGGTATTCCTACGTGACTACAAGGAAAAATTCCTTCCTGAATAAGGTATTAAATTATACAGTAAAAGCCATAAATTGGAGCTTTTAGATTAAGTTGAAAATTATTTTTAAAGTATACCACCATTAATAACACTCAAATAACTGTTTTAAATCATTCTTTTAAAAACAGTTTGACTCAACATAGAATTGTGTATGGTATTTAAAAGTGTAAACTTTTGTAAAGTTTCTAATTTTAGGAAACTAAACGGTATCTATAATTGAAAAAATCTTCTTGTATTAAAGATACAAGAAGAAGAAAGCTACAAAGCATCCAAATAAGATTTCTAATACCAAGTAGTACGGTCATTTATAAAGAAAAAAGAAAAAACATTGTTACTAATCAAACTCTTTTTTATGTTGTTATGACATTATTAGGATTAGTAGGATGAGTGGTTATTATATTAGTTTTGCAAAAAATACTATCTTAAAGAAGATTAAAATATAACACGTAAGCTTTTTAATCGTACAAGCGTAACACTAACTTTTCCTTAATTGATAAATTTAATATCGACAAAAAATGTTAAGTCACCAAAAGATACGTGTTTTAATTGCAAAATCTCCTTTATATTGACATGCAAACTTATTCAAGCAATAAACATAAGCAAAAATAAAGAAACTATAATTTCTGATCAGAATAACACCTCTGCTTGGAAATAAATTTTTTATTTTATTTTAGCAGCGATCAGGAAATTATAATTCAGTCTAACAATTTCAATACACCTTGCACCCTAGCTAAGAAATATCATTTAAACAATACAATACCCATCACTATTTTATTTAGTTAATAGTATTTAAACATGCAAAATTAATGTCAAGTTTCTATTTTTCCACAACTGATAATTATCGTACATCTTGTTGAGAACTTAATCCAAGTTTATTCATGTTTATTATGTATATGCATCAGATTCTTGTAAATATTCAATTTTCACATCGAATGCTTAACAGACAACTTTGGTCAAAGACATATAAAGCAAATATATTATTCTGATATAAAAGTAATATGCTAAAATGAAAGTATTGTACTTAAAAAAGTTACTTCTTACCCTTGTAGACGGTGGGCCAGAAGATTGGATATCGTGATCAGCTAAAATGGATGAATTGTTTTCATCAACAATTATAACTTCATATTCTCCATCGTCTTGCGACTCAGACTGGCTTATAACTCCTCCACTTTCTGAAATATACATATTATGTAAAAATATATTGAATGAAGCTGCGTGAGTACATTCCTGTATTTTCTTATTATAAATAGAATAATCATGCTTTTTCTGAACATCATGGTAACCAGCAACTTTTCTAGCATTTAAAATATTTCCCCCTATTCATATTTATCAATCTAACAATTGGTGATATTCTTTAGAATCGGTATAGATTTTTTCATACAATTATCAATTCTTACACGATTTTAACTTTGTAGTAAAAATAAAATGTGTGTAGTAACATTTTATATTTTTGTACAGTGCATGTGTGTTGTGTTAATTTTTCTAAATCGTTATTTAAGAATATGGGGAACTATTGATGGTCATACGTTTGCTGCCTATCATGCAACAACAGTGATTCGCAAAAAATATAGTATGTTATATGAACATGTTCAACTAACAATAGTTAACTAGTAGTATTAAATGTTCATTATTGGCAAAAATCGAATCATATGTTTTAATGTCGCAAACAATATAAGAAGTAACTATGAGTGCTGATGTGGAACAATTCAGTAGTGCATATACTAAAATGAGGGTTTTACAGCCATGCATAATATACGTATACGTTATAATATATTGAACAATTACCAGTGACTAAGAAAACTATAGCCTTTTAACTTTTACTTGCATAATTATTCAAACATAAATAACTGTATTTTTTTTAAACAAGTCAATTATCAGTAACAATTTTTGAATTGCAAAATTGGAATTTATCAAAACATTATTTAATAATAAAAATAAGCTTCATGGCATTCATACGTTCCCAATGTAAAAGTGTGATAAAAATCTATAAAAATTTATGGAAACACGTTTTTATCTATAAAGTAATAAAAATAACAAACAATTCATCATTAAACGTATGATTAATAACAGTTGGTATCATCGAACTATTTTTATATACTTAACATAATACCTTAAAACTTCAGTTTTTATGAATTCGTTGTATCTGTAATGAAAATTTTTAAGTAATGACAATTGTTGTCCTTACAAGTTTTGTATTATGTTTAGCGTACGTCATGATACAAAGTGAAAAAAATTACAAATTTGATGACGGCCCTTGATAGAAAATATCGGAAATAGTAGTTTTCGTACGATGGGTGCAAAGTACAACTTCAGCGCCTAAAGAGTGGTATACGGTTACACCCGACTTTTTAACGTTTTTTCCCAAAAGGGAAGAATATTGATTGCGCTCATCACATAAATAAATACATGTTACGTCCGCTAACAGCTAAATTTTATGTCCAATTGCACCAAAGGATCAGAAGGAGTTGGGGTTGTTACCCTCACTAATAGTAAAATCTATTTTAGTCTTCTAAAAGCGCGTTAACAATAGTATACCATTGGTGTATATATATTACTCACCTAGGGAGGAAAAATAAAGAATGTCTCAGATTGCAGGCAATTGAGCCGAGGGCGATAATCATGCGATCTGAGACGTTCTTTATTTTTCCTCCCTAGGTGAGTAATACACCATTTCATCAATTCTGCACCGAGAGAAAGGATTTTTGTTCCGCGACGTGGGACGAAAGTTCCTACTTTTGGCGCAGTATGATGAACGCAGTATGAACTTGTTTTTGAATTATCAAAACATCTAGCTTGTTGAATGTTTATTAATGGAGCTAACGGGATTTGACATCAATTCGTGTTAGAGCATCCGTCAAAGTCATTCGATATCATATTTAGAAAATTTTTCTCTAGTACCAATAAAAATTATATTATATTGTGTCATAACAATGAACACGATTGTCAGTGTATGGCGGGAAAGTACTTTGGACCCAGAGTAACAAGTTTTTTCTTTGTACATCGTTATATCATTAGGGCGTGGTTGTTGGACGTTGTGGTCGAGTATCATTTATGGTTTTTCACCATACTTCGCCGGAAAAAAGGAACTTTTCTTCCACTTTCAGGAAAGAAGCTTCGGTCTCTCGGCGCAGGATTGATGAAAAATTGTCCTTAACCCACGGGAAGTAACAAATAACGCCTCAGATCACATTCTTATCACCCCCGGCTTCGCCTAAGGTGTCCAGTGCTTGTGATCTGAGACTTTCTTCATATTTCCTCCCTATATGAGTAATGTAATCAAATCGTTATACTGGATTACTTTAACACTAATTTGCTTATGACGTATAAAAAAAAATAAACAAATAAGTAAAACTATCGAAAGATTAGCAATTAGCTTTATTAGCGATTTACAAACATATACTTTCATACAATGTTTCTCAAGTACAGTCAAGTTCTAAAAAAACCATTGTTTTCTATAGGCTTATCAAGCATATTGATGATAAAAAGACAGTATCACATAAACACACGAGCATAAAACATATAAAGCACAGAAAACGATGGGGGACAAACGGCAAGCAAGTCGAGCACATTCCGTGACACATCGAGCTTAACAATAATAATAGCAAAAAAAGAATACTATTTAAGGAGCATCAACGGACAAAGACAAAGAGAGAGAAAAAGATAGAGAAAGAACAAAAGAAAGAGACAGACGATCACTCGATTTACCTTGGAAAGCGTAACTGGAGTTTCTATGATAGATATTGCGGGGCTGATCTATATGCTTCGGTATCGCATGATGATGAAGGTTGTTGTTATTGTGATGGTGATAATGATGATGGCGATGATAATTGTAATTGTTTGGGTGATAGTTGTGGTGATTACTATAATGATTGGGTATATAATAGCCAGCAGCAGTGACGGCAGAATTGCTCGACGGCGGGGGGTTGCCGATCGGCTGCTGGAGCCGTCGCCGGCGGAGGGCTTGCTCGGCAGCGGCAGAAGATTGGTGGTGGTAGTGGTGATGGTGGTGGTGCTCAATTTGTTGTTGTTGGTGGTGGTGGTGATGCTGGCTCACGTGGTGCTGGTTGTTCGAGTTAACATTTGCGGCGGGATGAGTTCCCGGTAAGAACTGAGGGTACACGTGGTGCGACCATTGCGGAAACAGAGGCCGCCCACCCCCACTTCCTCTTCCTCCCCCGTTGATTCCATTACCCTCTGCTGTGGACATCATACCACAAACTTGTTTTTCTCTATTTCCTTACTGTACGTAGTTATATGCTTCTTTTGGATGGGGAGACGCATTTCAAGCATTTAACCTGATTGAGTAAGGTGTATTAGCCTCATTCGTCCATCAGCTGTCTCCTTACTTTTCGTTTTGGCTTACGATTTTCCTAGTTTGCCTACGTTACTGACGTTATATGGTTTTTTAAGTGTTGTTTTCCCCATATATATTATTTTTTTATTTACAATAATGACAACAGTAATGATAGTAATGATAATCATAACAATAATAATGATTAGTTGGCATATTTTTGTACATTCCGAATGCTGTCAAAATCGTTTGGCAACAATGAAAAATCTGGGAGAGCATCACGTACCTAATTCATAGTATACAAATGTACCTGAGCGTTAGAGTATATATTTATTAGAGCAGCATTTCATGAAAAAAAATGTGTAACGTGGCAAAAGAATTAGAGGTATAGTATAATTGGCTTTCTCTAGCTACCAAGGCTTTATTTCAGCACTTTAAGTACAGAGGGTCAAGGGAAAGTGTGGCAGATAGGCCGCCATGTTCAATACTCTACACAGAAACTGTATATCTATGTATATTGTTCACATATATTGATGTATGTCACTCCAACTTATATATGAAGCTCAGAGATATGAGATTCTGAGCCAGTGATTGGCTGAATAGGATTGTGTGCGTGTTAGTCCTGAATATGACAGAACCAATCAGGAGAAGCTTCCGCATCTCCTACACTGTCCCTTGACCCTCTGTAATTTTAAGTCACTACTAGCGCCTTGAGGTGGCCGGAAATAAAACTCGAATAACCTGCATTTTCAGACTCTGTTCAGAAACGCAATCATTTGTTAGATTACGTGGTAATTTAAATAAGTGAAAGCTAGGTGACAGTACATAACGTTATCTCCTTGGCCCTTATTCAAATGACCACATAATTTAATCAACGTGTGCAAAAATAGAGCCTTGTTATTCAAACGTGAGGACTTACGCAATTACCCGATCACAAGTGGAAACTAGGCAGTAGCTAGATCCTACATTGGCACCCTATGTAACTCATGTTGGCTTAGTATAGCAAATTTGGGTTTGGTGGCATGATGTTACGGGGGAAGAGTTTGGACCTTGGACCTACCTTGGCATCTTAAGTTGTCTTATACATATATAATAATTTAACATAGACCCATAGACACCGTGAACAAAATAATTTTTTTGTTCACATCATTTACATAATTTTTCGACAGTTAAAGGAAACAGCTATCAGTAAACAAAATAAAACAATTTATTTTATCAATTTAATGGATAGATTGATGATAATACATGAGAAAAACTATTCTCGAGTTGCAAAATTTGCAGAATATGTTGAAAAGTCAGTGAGGTAAAGTACCCTCTATTCGGACACATAATTTTAGGTAATCCACTATTTCTAAATTCACAAAGAAATTAGCTGTTTTTGCGAAAAAGACGGTTGACATATAGATAATAAAGTCATTTTTCTGTCACTTAAAAAAAAAAAAAGTTCTTTGTGACCGTGTGATCATTGTTTAAAATAATTATAAAGATTCAGTCTCAAAACCCCTATATTCGGACAATGCATTTCTAAATAGTCCGAATATAGGTCCCGTTACGACGTAGGGACCATAATCCGGACAGTCGTGAATATTGAGAAAATGAGGTTATGGCAGATCTTTATATACAGTTATATTTTACTTTAATGGCTTTAATTTGTTAAACAAATGCAAAAAACAAATTATTATTGTATTTTACTACATAGTATAACCATTTCTTTGCACTTGTAAGCAAGTGAATTGCTGGATTATGTGTGTCCGAATATGGGGTACAGTTTGAACCGTAGTGTCTAATTTCCGGACAGCAGCCAAACACAAAAAACCTCGATTTGCAAGAAAAAACATTTCTTTTAATGAATTATCAAATTAATTTGACGTATGTTGTAACTATCCTAAATCAATTCGATACTGTAGATTACAAATAAATTTTTTTATTCAGAAATTGTTAAAAAAATTATGTAATTATCGCTGCTGTCCGGATATAGGTCCGAACAACACTTTTGTCCGAATACAGGGTACTTTACCTTAGCTGGCTGAGGAAAGGCGGTAGCTACTGTACGGACAACAACTCTCGAGGTCCAAGATCTGTGCAGTAAAAAAAGGAGAAATTAAAGAATCCTATAGAAAGATCATCGGAAACCATAATAAAGATTTGAATATCTAACTCCTAAGAGCGGAAGCTCGAGGACAAAGAATGGCGCTAGTAACACTCGACGAAAACGTTGCAAAGTATGTAGAGCACGTAGGTAGGATCAAAGTTTGATTTATTTCCTGCCGTGTTAATAGGAGGCTGACATCAGTGTATTAGCTGCAACTATCAGAAAAAACTGTTAGACTCCAGCACGGTATTTTCTCTCCGAGACAGATGACTTAAATCACGAAGCGGAAGCTGACCAACGTTTAGAAGAACGATGAGGCCAAGAAAAAAGGCCAAGCAGGACGAAAGTAAATAGGCAAGACTTCTCAGAGTAGTGTAGGCTAATGTAGCCCCACGTTGCTCTGAGTACAGTTACTAATCAGCTAAGAAAAGCATCAGGCACATAGTGGCACTTGCAAAGACTGCAGCCTACATAGCAGAACTAGAAAAGGGTGCCCCAAAGGGACTCTGAGTCCTTTTCAGGACTCGAGAGGATTGGCATCTCTAACAACTGATGGCAAGCTTGCTCGCTCATGCTCTGAGATGCGATGATTTTTCTAGTTTCTCCATCTGAAGTAATGCTAATGCGGTTCTGGGGTGGAACTAAGGCCTTGCGGCATAGTGGAGGGGGGGGGAGGTTAGTGAGTATTAGTGATCTAATAAAAAAATTATTAGAGAATAGTTAAAGTTTTTAAATTAAGTTTTTAAAGTTCGTTGACCACAATATATAATAGTAGGTGACTTTAATGCAAATCAATATTGAAAAGTTCAGTATTCGAAAGGATGGTAGTTATACTTCAGTCACCTCGTTCTCGATGTCATGATGAACACGATGTAGTCCTTCCTTTTTTTAGTTCGTTAGCCACAAGTTTAGAGAGTATAATATATGTATCTATGATAATTGAAAAATAAAGTGGAAGTACCAGAGCTCTCACTGACATTTTCTGCTAACTCGCTTTACTCCTCATTTCCATGTCTTGAGCGTTAATGACAACAAAGGTGTAGAATTGGATCCCATTTCATTTGTGTTCCGTCCTCTTTTGTATCCTGTAATATGGCTGGAAAAAAAAGTTTGACAAAGACAAGATCAAGGAATTGAGAAAAAGGCTGAGAGAATCAAGCACTAACTGAGCAAGATGACCCGCTAGAGGATAGCTCGTTGAGTTCCAGCAAAAAGAGCTCGTCTAAGGAAAATGATGATCAGACAACTAAAGATAGAATTGTCTCCGTATCCTTTTTCTATTAACTTATACTAGCTCGCAAGATATGTTTGAAGACTATTCGCTTTAAGCGCAATTCCAAAATGGCGCCCCCACTGGAGACTTTGAGAACGATTGGTCGTCATTAGAAAAGGTAAAAAAAGGCATATGCTGACGTGCGCTTATGTCAATCTGGATATTAAAAGGTGCTTGCAGAAAACCGTGTATATACACACATTCAGAGAAGACAGGTGGTGATTTTAGAGCTTTTCTATACAGATTATATTGCTTTGGTGACTTAACCAAACAATCCATCAAACGGTGGAATTAGAATGTGGAACCATACAATTGAATTATCGAAACTATTAGACGAAAAAGACTTCAAATTAACTCTAACAAATGTCACTTGATGATATTTGTTAAATGTACCAGGATTTATTTCTCCTAATAGATGGTACAGAAGTTAAGACATCTCAGTCGGTTAAGATTACCTGCTGGGTGCATGAGGTTGGAGGAGAGGGCTGGCACCTCTAGTCACTTTAACATGGGGTCTTATATGGAGTGTGGAGATCGATCGGCCAGTAACGACCACACGAACTATTTTTGTTCAATAATATTTAACGTGGATTTTGGGGGTAAAATGAGAACAGTTTCGGTTATATAGCTGGCTCAGTCACTGTGTGCATGCCCTTGAAGGGGGTAAAAAAAGGCGGTATAAGAGCCCATGGTGAGAGACATGTGCAAAATTTCAGGACTCTTGAGGACTCACAACGTTATTGATTGCGTGTTATTGAGTTTCCTAACATTTTGAATCACCGAAGGTAATAGTCATTTACGTAACAAGTGTAGAAAAGACGATTTCCCGCATGAGTCTATCACACGAGTGCGGGAAATCGTCCCACACGAGTTGCGTACAAGTTTTTTCCGCCCTCGGGTGGTTTTGGGAGGCTGGTACTTCCTCGAGAAAAAAAGCAGTTTTCCGATACTCGTTCGAAAAGTCTACTTTACGAGCCTCGTTACGGACCTCGCCTTCGGCTCGGGCCACAAACCTCTCGGTTCGCAAACAAAGACTTTTCAAACTCGTAAGAAAACTACTATTTCGCAATAAGTGTGCGGTAAATAGGGGTTTTCCGCACTGATGTTAGTGTGGAGAGTCGATTTTTCCACATAGTGTGTGGAAAAGGTTTTTGTCGCACACCTTTTTCGCTTACTATGTGGGAAAATCGATTTTCCACACTAACGTCAGTGCGGAAAACGCCTATTTTCCGCACACTATTGCGAAATAGTAGTTTTCCTACGAGTTTGAAAAGTCTCTGTTTGCGAACCGAGAGGTTTGCGGCCCGAGCCGAAGGCAAGGGACGTAACGAGGTTCGTAAAGGAGACTTTTCGAACGAGTTCCGGAAAACTGCTTTTTCGCCCGAGGAATTACCAGCCTCCCAAAACCACCCGAGGGCAGAAACTATAATTTTCCTACCTCGGGCGTTTTTGAGAGGCTGGTGTGCCCTTGGTAGGAAAAATAGCATTCGCCACATAAGCGCCATCGCTCCGTGACTATCTTACGTCCCTCGGGCCCTGCT